GCGATAAAGTTCTCATCGACGCCGAACGATTAACGCTTCTTTCCAGGCGAAAGCTGTCGCGATGAAAACTTGATCGATCCTCGAGGAACGAGCCTCTTTCTTTTTCCGACGTGTCGGCGATCGGAACCGAAATAGCGTCGCGGCGCCGTTCCAACGGCTGGAGATGGAACGTCGACCACCCGGTCGGCTTTTCGGGAAAGCGTATTTGATCTTTCATTGTGCGGACGTCCAATTTCGCTGGGTTTCGAAGATGAATCATTTTGAGATCCTTGGTTACGATTAAAGATAATAAATATAATAATGACAAAGAGGAAAAGAAAATATAAGAAAATAAATATAATAATGTAATAATAATACAAAATAATAGTATAATAATAATATAAAAATAAATATAATATAATACCACGCGGAGCTGCCACCTCGATTTAGGTTAATTTCGTCTGCCAAATGAATCGAATAAGTGCTCGATAAATTGAAGCACAATGCTAAATGAACGCTATATCTCTTTCCATCGAGGATTGCGAAGCTGTACGACTTATTCGGTGTCAGACATTTATGACTGAAACCATGTGACTTGCATCAATACCGCGGCAAACTAAGTGGATCAAGGTGATAGCCTCGAGTGCACCATCCTGCGCGATAAAATCCTTTTCGGTTCTATCACGAATTACGCCAACCGTACAATATCTACGCGCAACATGTACAAAACTGTGCGCGATCTAAACTTTTATTTGCAATCTTTTATCATTGATGAAATCGTTCGAAATCGAAGAACAGCGAGGCATTCGAGGTGAAATTGACGAACGTGCACTGTGATGCACGAAAAAACTGAGTTACGAATTCATCACACATTTGGAAAGAAAACGCGAACTGTCTGATCAATGTAAGACGCGACTACTTTCACGCAACAAGACACAATCGTCAACTGCAGATCTTGATGCATTTATTGCTTGCACAAGATTCCAAAGAAGCTAATAAAACACGCGGATGAAAGTCATTTCAGACGGTATTCGTCTGTTTTAACTATATTAAAAGAAGTATTATGTTATATATTATTTTTATTATATTATACTATTTTATATTATATTATATATATTATTATATATATATATATATATATATATATATATATATATATATATATATATATATAATATATTCCCATATTATTCGTTCTGTGCAACACGCGTCTCATTTCTTTTTGCTGAAATCCTGCGCCCCAAAGAATTAAACGGGGGAAACCAAGGGAATTGCTTCGGAGAAACGAGGCCCGCGGTAAACGGTCCACCCCCGCGTTTCCATATTTCAAGGGTGTGCCCATGTTTCGACGAGCAGAACCACCGTGCAAAGTCATTCGGAGGCGGTTGCAGCGCAATAAAAGGGGGCCAGCAATAAAGGCCAGTGACGCGGCTAACTGAAGAGAGAAAAAAAAAGGAAAGAATTCTATTTTTCTGTGCACCGGGGGCAGTTATCGTCGATCCCTCCCTCGACCCCGTGCTACCCCTCGCAACCAAGGATGTCTCGGTAGTTGCGCGCCTTCCTGTGGGACAGTTGACGGACGCGCGGCCAATTTGATTTTCTCTGTTCCCCCCTGCGATCTCGTCCTACGAAATAGTTTTTCCACGAAAAATTCGTGTCCCCTCGTTTTCTATGTTCGGCACCGATATCGAGTTGCTGTGTGCCTCCTTAGAGCAAATGTTATCGTCGGGATGCTAGTTTCACGAAGTTATAGCAAATTCGTCTGAAATTGTCCCTCGACTTGTAAGCAGAAACGAACGACAGTAATGACTCTCTAATCGACGCCCAGATTGACCAGAAAAATACGATTATTCGAGCCTTGCGGTTTATTGTTATAGTTATAAATTGTCCACAATTATAAAAACGAGCCGCGAGGCTCGAATAATCCTCGTATCTCCTCGTCCCAAATTGTGCAATTTAGTGGACAATCTGAGCGTCGGTAAGGGAGACATTACTGAATTTTGGAAGAGGAGACACGATTATTCCGAAACTAATTTCGGAGGAGCATAGAATTATTAGGAGCTCTTAATTAATAGGAATTATTAGGAGCTCGGAAGCTGAGGAACAATTCGAGGGAATTAATTGTTAAACGTTTGCAACGAACGAACAACAATATTAAAATACACATACCTTGCAAACATGGATGAAAATGGAATGGAAATGGATGAAAATATCGATTTTTCTATCTATTCGCGACGGCCGATGAACAAATTATCGTTCGAAACGATCGCTTCGTCGACGTCGACGCTTCGAATTTATGCAAGATTTGGCCGCGCGATTTAACGTCGTCGCCGTTGCGACAGTGGGAGCATTTAGATATTATTTCGCCAGCTTTGCGTCCTCGTTCGAAAGAAGAGCTCGGCAGAGCCCGAAGCCCGATGAAAGAGCGTTCACGCTCGTTAACGGGAAAGAGAGGCGACGCTCTCTATCCGCGTTTTTCGCATTCTCCGTGTAACACGGGGCGGCACGAGGTAACCCGAAACGCGGCAGAAAAGAAGAAAAACGCGAGCCGAGTCGAACCCCCCGCGGCGAGAAAATAAATTTCCAAACGAAGGCTGCATTCTTCCCGGGTGAAACGAAAGGGAAGACGTATGTGCATTCCTAAAGCCGCCATTCGTAATCCAAACAGCCCGGTATTAATAGGCGGGAAAGAAAACAGCAGAAAATTTTCAGCGACCCGGCGTCTGACAATCGTCGCGCAGCCGACAGGCCGGCCAGAAATACGTATTTTTTTCCGTTTCGTGTCGCGAACTCCGCGTCGCGACTTAATCGTTCCGCCGCGGAATCCGCGCACGGAGAACCGAACCGAAGAGCCTGCAGCTTCGTCGAGCCACGTACGATCGAACCGCGCATTCAAAAGTTATCTTTCTCGCGACAGAATTCGATTCGCCCGTTCCGAAATCGGTCGACGCATTTTCGACACGGGGTACGTGCGAGAAAAATAGCCGCAAGCGCCACGTGCAAGCGGCCGATGCTCGTCTCCGCGTGTCCAAACGCAACGTTTGGCATCCTTAAAACTGCTTAAATGTTCTCCGGTTCGAATTTTTTAACGTACGATTTTCACACGCGCGACGAAACGTGCCGCCACTCGTCGCGAACGGCATTTAGATCGCGTCGTTTTCCGCGCGGCGAACGTTTCGGCGCCGCTATCACGCTTATTTCCGGCGGCCTGAGAAAGCAATTCTTCCACGGTTGCTAGCTGTCAATCGCGAATCGAACTCGACGCCGATTCCGCGTCGTAAATACAGGCCGTACGCGATTGCCGGACGCGTCTGAATCATCGCCGCAGAAAATAGTATCCTCAAACCGAAAGAACCGCGCTGTTAGAATCTTCTCGATCCCCCACCAAGCGACACCCGAAAAGCCGTACGAAACCCGTTCCGAACCCGCGGTCCTCGAAGCATTTTCCGGGGCCGGCGGTCGACGGCTGTCTTTCATGAGGCTGACAGTGGCACCCCGGAGCACGTGAACGACACGGCGCTACGAAAAACGAGGTCCCCTTGTCGCCGGAGTGGTCGCGGAGAAGATGGATAGATGGGCGGACGAGTGAGGACGAGGGGAAAGAGAAGAGGGAGAGAGAGGGAGAGAGAAACAGGGAGAGACGGAGGGCAAATGAGAGAAATAGAAAAATAGAGAATAGGAAAAATTGAGGGGGTGGATGAGAGGAAGACGTGGAAAGAACGAAAGTGAGGAATACGGCAATGTTCTCCCTAATTGACGCTCAGATTCTGCACGAAATTGGACAATTTGGGAAAAGGAGATACCACTGTTCGAGCCTTGCAACTCCTTTTTATAGTTACCCTTTGTCAACAATTATAAGAACGAGCTGCAAGGCTCGAATAATCGTATCTACTCTTCCCAAATTGTCCATTTTTGGGGACAATCCGAGCGTCAATTAGGGAGACATTACTGTGGAGAGAGAAAAACGGGAGAAATAGAGAGAGAGGAAAGCGAGAGAAGCGGAAAGAGAAAAACGAGAAAAATAGAAAGAGAAATAGAGGGGACTGAAGAGAAACATTGGGAAGGAAACAGCGGGAGGAGAGGAGAAAGGGGAAGGAAGACAAAAAGAAACAAATAGAGGGAATAAAGGAGAAAAATGGAGAGCGTAACAGAGACGAAAAATAAACGCAGGGAGCAAGAGAGAGGATTAGAACGAGCATGAATGGAAAATGGAGAGAGAGAGAGAGAAATGGAGTAGAGTAAAAGAAAAAGGGGAGGGAATTGGAAGAAGCAGAAAACAAAAATACAGCGAGAAAAAATAGACGAACGGAGAGGACAAAACAGAAAAATAAGGAGAGAGGCAAAGAGAGGCAAATAGAGAGAGGGGGGGAATTAAAAATAGAGAAATTGCGAGAGCGGAAGAGAAAAACAGAGAGAGAGAAAGAAGAAAATAGAGAGAACAGACTAGAAAAATAGAGAGAGAAATTGAGAGAGAGCAAAAGAGAAGACTAGGGAGATTAAAAAAGGGAGAAGCAGAGAAAACAGGAGAGAAAAATGGAGATAGAAGTACTGAGAGCAGAGTAGAAAAATAGCGAGAGAGGAAAAGAGGAAAGTAGAGGGGGAAAAAACGAAAGAAACGGAGAAGGCAAAAGAGAAAAATAGAGAAATAGGGAGAAAGAGAGCAAGAGAGAGAGGACAAGACGAAGACGAGAGACACACGCGACACACATTCCACTCGGCGGAAGGGTGGAGGAGGGAGAAAAATGAAAGAAAGAAAGAGAGAGAGAGGCGAGAGGGGGACTACCCGAAGCAACACAATGCCTTTTTCATCCTCCTTTTACTGGCACCTCACTAACGACCGGGAGCACGCTGTCCAACCTTCTTGCTCACTTTTTTCCTCGGTTTTTGTCTCCCGACCCGTTGGTCCCTCATCGAACCCGGTCCCTCGGCCCCTCCCGCCCCGCACTCGCCTCCCCGTCGAGGGTTTTTTTGCCACACAGCGGTTCGGAAAGGCAGGAAGCCGCTTCCTTCTCTCGACGTACCTTCGTTCCTTTTTTCCATCCGCGTCTCTCCCTTCTTTGAGCCGCACCGATGTTGTTCTTTCTCACCGGCACGAGCCTTTTTTTCCTAGCGACGTGTCCCCGCGTTCCCCCGGCAGCTCCTCCACCTCCTCCTCTTCCTCCTCCGCCTCTTCCTTCTGGTCCTCTTGGCCCGCGTCCTCGTCCTCCGACGATTCTTCCTCTTCCTCTTGCGTTTCCTGCTTGCTGCGGCCACGGCCGTGCGGAATTCGAACCGGGGTTCGATTTGGCGGCACCCGGTTTGAGCTGGTCGGCATAACTGCGTCCGAGGAGACCAGACCACTCGCTCCCCGACGCGTTTTCTTCTCTCTCTCTCTCTCTCTCTCTCTCTCTCTCTCTCTCTTTGTGACGAAGCCTCTCTCTCTCGCTCTCCCGATTCGGTTCCCTCTCGCGGCTCCGCGCGAGCACACGAGCTCTCTGTCCTCCTCGCGCCTCCCACCTCCGCCGGCTCCCGGTCTTCCGTCTTTCGCCTCCGACGAGATGTGTTTATCACCGTCTTCGTTCGCCAGCGATGGCTTCGAGAGCGAGCGGCGAGGCGTCGCGCCGCGGAGCTTGCGAGCGAAGCTTCACAGATCGTTGCTCTGCCCCGAGATTTGCCGCCTCCGAGCTGATCCACTTCGACCTCGGAGCCTCCGGTCGTCTCCCGAAGAGGGTACGAGGTCGCTCGAGACGAGGAGACCGTTTTTTCGCGCACCGCTTTCTCGTGAATCGAACGAAAATGAATCTTGAGCGCTAAAATCTGTGCTCGCTTCGTCCGAATCGAAGCAAAGCTTCCGAAACAAAATTCCATTATCTCTAAAAATGGACAATTTGGGAAGAGGAGATGCGATTATTCGAGCCTCGGCGGTTAGTTTTTATCGTTACCGATCGTCGATCATTATGAAAACGATCTGCAGGGCTCGAATAATCGTATCTCCTCTTCCCGAATTGTCCATTCTTCTGCACAATTTCACCATCAATTAGGGAGACATTACCGTGGATCGGTGCAAGGGGAAACAAGGGAAGAGAACAGCGAACACGAAAGTTGGAACATTCGCGGGAGCATTTTAATTTCCGCCCGAAATTCTCGAATTCTCGCTGCGCGACGATCCGGATCCCGTAGATCGTAGATCGCTCAAGGCCGTTCCGACGAGAACGACCCCGAAACCGATCCACGGGTCCCTGATCCGTCGATTTTTCACCTGGCAGGGCCGGGATGAGCCTCGGGTCGGCGCGATCGAGCGAGACGGCTCGTTTGCGAGCGAGAAAGCGTCCGCTGTTCGTCGTTTCTGGGGTAATTTTAGATCGTCGAGATAGCGCGGCGGGCACCGGGGGGAGGGCCAGGGCAGGGCAGGGTGCCGGAAAGAGAAAGAGCAAACCGCGAGAGCCGTGGCCGGGTGTGGGGAGGAATAACAGGCGGGGTAAAAAAGAACGCCGGTGGAGAAAATCGACGGCGAGCGAGCGAGCGAACGAGCGAGCGCGTCCTAAGCTGTTTACGAACGAGGAAACGGAACGGGACGAGGCGGAACAGGCAGCGACAGCTAAGCCGGGCTGGATGAACAAGGCCAGAAGCGACGGAGAAGATCAGGGTGAAGATAGCGATGGGACTAATTCAATTGGCCGGGAGAAGGAACCCGAGCTACGCCGGGACCTAGATTCGCCGGACTTGACTCTGCGAGACGGGAACTCGACGCTTCGGGGTGACATCGCGTCGCGATGCTACGCTCCTGGGATTATTAGACCAGCCTGGAACCGTTCGCTTCAGTTTTTCAGGATTTTTAGGAAGCGTTTCTCGCCGTCCAAAGCTGTACACTCGCGCGAGTTCTCTTGGTGCAAGCGCGTCGTTTTGCTCGGAATTCTGTGCTCTGTAGATCGCGGATATAAATGTGTAAATAACACGAATATAATATACAATAACATAAATTTATAAATAATATGAATATAATAATATAATATATAATAATATATAATAATATAAAAGGCGAGGATTCCGCGTGAATCACGGCGGTTCGCCGGCCACAGGCGACGTCCGAGAATGTCGTTTTTAACGACGTCACACTTTTCCAACGGCGGCCGTCGTAAACGTCCCGGCTGAGTTACGATTATAAGGCAAAACGTGCAGAACAACGCGCGTGTGCGCGTGCTCGCGCCGCGGTATGCAAATCGCCGCGGCACATTTCACGCGCCATAAACTTATGAATGAGCCACGCGCGGACAGTTGTCCGATCTGTATGTACGACGCGCGGCGTCCGTCGTCGGACACCGGCGAAATTGGTTCATGATCATTGTTACGCGGCAGTTCCGGCTGATTATAATTCCGCTGCGCGCGGGATCGATCGTAATCGCGGGACACCGAAGCGGGGAGATCGCCGCCGATGCGACTAACAACCGTGCCGAATGTGTCCCGTCTCTGTTAATTAGGCTGCGCGAACGCTTTCTGCACACATCGAAACGAATCGAAACTCGTTTGCTTTTCTCGTTTTCATCCCTTGCGACGATTTATCGCGCGGAATGCCGTTGTTCAAGGGATCCGGATTCTTAGAAATGTTCTAAATTTGTGGAAATCATTCGCTGTTTTCTTTACTCGTATCACGGAGATTGGTCGATTAAGCTCTCTTGTGTAGCATAATTGCATAAACCTTGCATTCGAAGTTGCATCGCAAGGTATCCTCACAAGGTTAATTCTCTCTAATTGACGCATCCCCTAATTGTGCACAAAAATTGACAATTTGGGAATAGGACGTACGATTACCTATTATAGATTATTATCGTATTATTGTTAATCATTAATTACTATTATTATAAGCTATTATTATTATAGGCCATTATAGTTACACACGATCATCATCGCGTTTCCGCCTTTTTGGTAGTAAAAGTTAACCTTCCCATGTTTTTTTTATTATTTTATATACTAGCAAAGATTGAAATACAATGGATAATTTTTCTAGAATTATAATACATTAACACATACTTTTACACTCTTTATTTAGGGTCTATTACGAGAACAACATACCAATTACTTTTTCTAAATATCATCCTACTAGTTAAGGTTTAACAATAATCAATCGCCAGGCTCGAATAATCGTATCTGCTCTCCCTGAATTGTTCATTTCTGTGTACAATCCGAGCGTCAATTAGGGAGACATTACTGTCTTCTCGTCACGTTCTCCATAACTGTCTACCGCGAAAGCGTTCGACAAAATTGGGATACTTTCTCATACCAGAAGCAACAATTAGATATCCAAAGACATTCGAAACACCGAAACAAACCGAATCATTCGACGAATCTCTCCGCAGCCAACAGCCGCGAGCGTCGCCGAGCTAAAACAAGCCCTCCATTCCGGCAAATTTACGCAACTACACGTGTCGCAAACGTTCTCGAATCCCAATCATCGGCACCGTCTTCTCCTCAGAACATCAACCATGTACTATCAAGCTCTAGCAGCTAGCATAAAGGACCGACGAAAGAAAGAATTACCTCGAAGCGTCGCATCCGAAGGGCTGCTGGATCTCTCCGTTTCCCGAACCCGGTCTCCCAACGTTTGTCGACGATCGCGCGGTCCTCGGGTTCGACTTGAATGAGCTAAGAGTCTGGCCAAAATCCGCGGCCTAACGGCGTCCAATTTTAGTGTGGAACCATCGGCCCTGTACATGTACAAGTTTCAAGAATAAATCTGCCGAATCCGGCCGCACCTGTTCCTCCGCGGTTTTCACCGCCGCCGAGACCACCGCGACGATTACACCACGCGCACGGACACAGGTGCACGAGCTGCTACAGGTACACCTACACAGGCACACGTATACACATACACAAACACGCATATAGAAAAAGAGAAAGAGAGAGAGAGAGAGATCGACGTATAGTTCCGATCGCAGCGCGGGACAAAACGCGTTCGCGGCGCGGCGGCTCTCAGTCGCGATCCGGACGCGCGTTCGCTTGACACTGGGTGGCCTACATTCGAAGTTAAATCCACACCGTGTTCCAGTCTATTATAAATTGGACTCCCGGCGCATAACACCGGGATCGTGGAACTGAGAACGCTTTATTATGCCGCTCCGACGCCGGCAGATTCCCCGAAGCCTATCCTCTCCCCGATTAACGGCGCGCACCGCGCCGCGTCGTTTTTCCGCCGCGGTGAACACGATCCACCGACGGAAAGTGTACACTTCGGGGTCTATTCCGATTGTTAGTTTACCGTTCCCGAGCCGGCCCGTTGCTAGTTTATCGAAGCCCGCAGACTGTCTCGCGCGCGCTCGCCGCCGACAATGTTAAATGGTCCGCGGCTTTTTTTAGGATCCGCGTAGATTCGCGCGACTCGCCGCTACGATCCAGAGGCTGTTCCGCGATCGTTTCCCGTGATTTTCGGGAATTTTCTATGGTGCTCGAATAATCGTGTCTCCTCTTCCCAAATTGTCCTTCTTTGTGGACAATACGAACGTCAATTAGGGAGACGTTACTGTATTTCGTTAAGGTAGTTTCGTGATCTTCCGTGCTGCTTTCGTTTAATCAAACGCTGTCGCGTTGCGCGTAATTGTTCTACGGCTTTTTTCTTTTTTCGAAGAAGTGATATTGTCTTGAGAAGAACAAAATTTATTATATATTATATTATTGTATATATTATATATTATTATATACATTATATTGTATTATTATATAATATTTATACAGTATTAAATATATTATTAATTGAAAGCGAAATATCAGATCTGGATATCTCGCTTCCAATTAATTCAATATACTTGGAATAGAAGAGAAGATTATTCAAGCCTGGGAAATTATACACGAATAAAAATCAATCTTCTATCGACGATAAAAAAAGCTCTTAGCACAGTTCGTCTATCGTCCCCGTCGGACGATTTCCCCGGCGCGGATTTTCGACGCAACTCGCGAATATCCGGCGCCGAAGAAAAATGAAATTTCGCGACGGTCGAGCCGCGTGCGCTCCGATTCCGACATTCTAGAACGCGGGACAAACAAACGAGTTAATTAAAAGCCGGCGCCGGGTCCTGGAGGAGGGCCGCCCTGGGCACAATGCGGCCCCGGTTCCCGACCCTCTGTCCTGGCCCGCGTGCCACATTCGGAACGCTGATGGCCCACCGATACACATATGCATATGCATACGCATCTCTCTCTCTCTCTCTCTCTCTCTCTCTCTCTCTCTCTCTCTCCACCCCTTTCGGAAGATGCAATTTTTTGCCACCCCGCCGGGAATGCATATTCGTCGATCACAAGCGGAGCAATTCCGGACAAGCGGGTGCCGATCACTGGGTCCCGGGGAATT